GGAGCCAGAGAGTCATAGAATCTCACCCAAACAAACCATCCAGGGAAAACACAGCCAGTCTCCTTTTTGGTAAACCTCTGTGATGGGCGTTCTCCAAGCACCTGGTAAGTAATTTTGCCAAGCACTGATTTTCACAGCTGTGGCAGCCTCAGTTGGCACCTGCCCACCCCGCAGCGAATTGTTCAGTGCTTGCCACCAGCTTCCAAGCGCTGCCCCTCTCAGCGGGCCCACCAGCCTTCTCAGCTGAGCACAGGGCCGACCACGAGGGCGGGGTTACCACCCCTGGGAACAGCCCTCTACCAATGACCAGCGGGAGTCATGGATATATTCTCAGCTCCGCCCCTCCCAGGCGGAACAATTCTGTGTGCTGTATGCAGTCTCCCAGAAGTCCCTAGGAGCGTCACCCGATGGTTAATGTACCGTGAATTGCCTTCCTCACTTTCTTATGGTTGCTTCCTAAGATCATATCCAAAATGAACAACCTACACTCAAGTCTTTGTCTTAGGGTGCAGTTCAGGGGGAGCCCAAAGTAAGAGAAGTGTGTTTTCAGGGGTGGGATTCAAAGTATTGACAACTGGTTTAGCCAGGACACTGCCCAATCAGAAAGGATGCCAACAACAGTGCCAGGCCTTACCCCTGACTTGCTGCATTGCTGTGTGTGTGTGTGTGTGTGTGTGTGTGTGTGTGTGCGCGCACGCACACACGCACGTGCGCACTGGTTACCCCTGATAGCATCACTGGGGGGCCAGGATGTGCCAGACACAGTGGTTGGGCATCAGGGGAGGCACTCAAGGCCTCAGGGCAGTGATTGATGATGAAGAAACAGTACAGAATTATTTCAGTATTTTACCTGACTGAGCTATGCCAGTAGTTACTAACTGTATATCAGCTCAGAAAACATTAGAAATTTATCCCAATAGCTTCAGGGGTCAGGGAGGTAACGTAAGCGAGCGAAACAGGTCAAATGTAAGAAAAATTATGCAGCCACACGGATCTATATTTTTCCCTTTTGATAAGAAGGGGCAGAGAGAACTCTTCCTCTTCTGTAAAGAACACGACAGCAAGCACAAGGGCAAACGGCAGCGACGGCAAGGCTTTGGGGAGCTAATAGGGTGGCGAGGCTGGAGGCAGGAGCACGGACGGACACCTTGCCTGCCCCAATCATTACCTTGTGGGATGTGGAACCAGTGGTGCCAGCTCTTTGTCAAGAGACTCCAAAAATTTGGAGCCTGTGTGACATGCTTCAGTGCAAATAATTTAAAACCACTGTGTGGGCCAAAGGAAACACATGTATGGGCTGGGTCCAGCGAGCAGGCTGTCAGCAGGTGACCCTATCCTAAGGAGTGGGTTATAATTCCAGGTTGCCTGGAAGGGACTGGCTGCTCCGATTGGGTGGTCTTGCTAACCTCGACTTCGCTTCTTGTTGCCACTGGGCCTCTTCTTAAGTTCTCTCCGTTTTATCTCGTGCACTCTTTACACNGTGCATGAAACAACAAAAAGTGGACAAATATATGAAACAAACACTGGACTTTAGGCAATGCAGAAGAACAACCCCTGAGACATGGGCATCACATGAGGTGAGCTTTATGATTGCCCAAGCTCACTACCTTGAGAGAGTTTCCAGGCCATGGTACAGGAAGAGGGGAAGTAAGGTAGACACCTGAGTTGAGAAGACAGAGTTGAGAGTCTGGGAAGACAAAGGCAGCTAGAGTTTGCAGGAGAGAAGAGAGCTACACAGAGGGAAAACTCCAGACACCCATAGAAAGACCTCAGCTATTGAGCAGAAGACTGATTAGTACGTGTGTGGGATGAAGCCGGCCAAGGCTGAGGACAGGACCACCTGAAAAGACTGTAGGGGACAGTATTCCGTACTCACCCAGGCTAGGAATAGTGCTTGCTCCCACTAGCCATAATGGAAAACCTCACCATTCATGGGGCATTGAGTAGAATACACAGAAGGGTCTTGGCTCAGCCGTAGACTGAACATTGCTCTGGCCCTGCCTAACAAATCTTAAAAGCAAGACCCAAAAGAATTAAACTGTTTCCAGGTTACTTAACTGTATCCCAAACAAAGCTCAAATATATTTTTAGGAATGCAAAAAATAGCCAGCATACAAGAAAGTAAAATTCACAGTGTTTGACATCCAATAAAAAATTACCCAGCATGTTAAAAAACAAACAAACATGAACTAATCATCATAATGAGGAGAGAATGAGGACCAAGTATTCCTTAAGTCCCTGGACAGCTGTGCTGGCAGATTCATACCCTATAGGGTTGAATTACTGGTGCTTCCAGAAGAGAAATGGCCCAATGTAGTCAACTTGCTACCAACTAGCCCATTGGTTTTGTTGTTGTTGTTGTTGTTGTTTGAGGACTGGTGCTGTATCAAGGGATGCAGTGTTCATTTATGGTGATGGCAAGTTAGACATTCGGTGGCAGCAGTAACTAAACTGGCCTTCCTAAGTGGGAGTCCATGATGTTGGGCCCATTCTAACCTTCATGTCTGCCATGCCGGCCATTCTGTTCATGTGTCCAGCATGCCAATTCGGGGGGTGGGCAATGATGAAGGGTGGTTAAAATAAGCTGGCTGGGTCATTTTGTTCAGTGCCTTTTCTGTGGTGGGAGTTAGTATCACTACAAAAATCTTCAGAGTTCATGCTCACTCCTATATGTCTACCCACATGCCTTCTTGTTTCCAATCCTACAGTCTGTTTTTCTTCCAGAACCCCAACTAGTCATCCAGGCCATTGGCCTCCATCCAGGAACCTTTATATAGTCTCAATTCAGGCCACTTCTCCTTCCTTTGAACGATCGTTTTGCTGGGTATAGAATTTTAAGTTGACAGTTTTTTCCCCCTTTGGTCCTTTGAAATTGTTATTGCTCTACTGTCTTCCCACTTGCATTGTTTCCAACAACAACAAAAAATCTGTTCTCATCTTTATTTTCATCTGTGTATAACATATCTTTTTCCTCTGGCTCCTTTTAAGATTTTCTTTTTATAACTGACTTTGAGAAGTTTGAGTCTGATATGGGTTGGTGTGGTTTTCTTCCTGTTTCTTGTGCTTCAGTCTTGTTGAGTTTCTTGGATCTGTGGATTTATGGTTTTTAACCATAATTAGGGAAACCTCACAAATATTTTAGCCATTTTATTTCTTCAAAATGTTTGTCCCTCCTGTCTCTTCTGTCCTTTGAAGGCTACATATATTAGGCCACATGAAATTGTCCCATAGCTTGCTGATGCTCTATTCATTTTTGTTGTCTGTTCTCTGTGTGTTTCAGTTTAGAGAGTTTCTATTGCTGTTTCTCCAAGTTTATTAACTTTTTCTTCTGCAATATCTAATCTGCCAGTAATCCTACCCAATGTGTCTTTCATCTCATCTATTGTAGTGGGAGATCTAGGAGTTTAATTTTGGTCTTTTAAAATATTTTTCATATCACTACTTAATATTTTAAATATATGGAATACAGTTATAACAACTTGTTTAACATCTGCCTACCAATTTTAACTTCTGTATCCGTGCTAGTCAATTTCATTTGATGTGAGCATGGAGTCCCATACAACATGGTATCTGCCCAGAGGACCCTCTTCATGGTGAAGGAGGTGTGAGATAGTGCCTGTGACCAAGGGACCTACTTGTTGTATCATATACCATACCATCCAGAAAGTGCTGCCTTATAGAATGTTAGAATGACCTTCTAAATAAATGCATGACTTAAGTGCCAGCTTGGATGCAAGGATCAGGTGCCATCTTTCAGGATGCAATATATGTATTTTACCAGAGATCTCTATATGGCACTGGGCCCCTGACAGAAAAAATACATGGACCTCAGAAACAAGGGATGGAAGCAGGAGTAACTCCACTTAGCATCACCCCTAATGACCCACCAAGGGACTTTGTGTTTCCATCCTCCCAGCTCTGGACTCTACTGGGATTAAAGGTTCTGGATCCCAAAGGGAGGACACTCCTGCCAAGGGACACGGCAAGAGTTTCGTTGAATTAAAAGCTACAATTGCCAGCAAGGTGCTTTGAACACCTTGTGTCTGGGGACCAGCAGGGGTCCCTTGCCCCCCCTGCCCTCCCATAACTGTGAGTGGACATGGGCAGCAACCCCAGTGTGAGAAATGTATGATTACAAAGGGCCCAGACTCCTCAGCTGTGAAGGATGGAGTCCCACCAGTAAGTAAGACTTTAAGACCTGCCAAGGATGGAGGAAATTTTTAAAGGAGGCTGGAGGAGGGAGAGGATGGCACCACTGTGGCCTTGAGACCAACTCTAGTGGTGAGGGCTGTAATTCATTCCACTACCTTCCTTCTTCTAAGTGTCCCCACAGGGGCCATGAAGCAGCTGGTCTCCTTCATGCATGGAGAAATGGACCTGCGTGGCCAATGGGTGAACTCTGGTGGCCATGGAGGTGCCTCATTCAGCTCTCTCCCCAAGGGGACCGCTAGCTGCCACCCTGTAGGCTAGACTGTAGCATACATGTTGAGCCCACGCTTCCCCTGGGTTGCTGTAAGCTGGTGAGTGAGCACACTGGGCATCCTAGAGCTGGACCGTTCCTGCCCAGTGTGCATGCTGCTTTGTTCAGGTCCTGCCCATCAACCCAACTGAGACTTTCTCAGAGCTCCACTGCAGGCTGTGACTCCTCTTACGCAATCTCCCTCCTACTCTCCTTTCCTAGGTGTCACACCTGCGTCACAGGCTGAAGGTTCTCCCCTCCTCCTCCCGGCTCCTTCTTCCTTCCTCCTGCAAAGGCATTTTGCCCAGGACATCTCTCGCACATCTGCTCCTGTCTAGTCGCCTGCTTCTTGGAAGCCCTAAAGTGCCCGCCGCCTGTGTCCACCCCACCTTCAACATGCTCCCTTCTGGACTCCTCCACCTCAGGCTTCTCTTTTTGCCCGTTCATGGCTCTGATCCAAATCTGTGTTTGTTTTATATTTGGGTTTGCTTGTTCACGGTCTGCCTCTCCCCCTGGACTGGGAAGTTCATGCAAATGGGGTGCTATGAAGGGTCCCTATAGAGTAGACTGCTGTGCCCCCGTCTCCCCTGAGCCTGGCACATGACAGATATTCTATACATACTTGTTAAATGAATGTGCGGTAAG